CTCATTTGCAAGCGAGGACTGTGGAGTATGTATTGTTGGTGGTTGGGAGAAAGCTCACATCTGGAGTTGTAGGATTCTAATGACCCTTAACTTTTATCAGGTACTTAAAACTCCTGCTGAGTAAATGTGATTGATGAATACCTTTTTGATTTTGTGTCAGCGGGAAATGGAAAGAAATGGTTAATGCCAAAATAATCTGGCACTAATCTGCATTTCTTGTTGCAACAATGACACAGAAAACAAAGGCGGTAAAAAACCCTAAATAGGCTGCATTAACAAAATCCCAGTTTTACACACGCCGTCTTTAGTCCACGTCACCCGCACATGCGTACTGTATGTGTAGCTCTGCTTTAAACCTATTAGATCATGGCTGATGCATATAGACAGTCAGCAGATCCCCTTAAGACCGCCTGCCACGCATAATCTACAACGCTTTCCTCTCGCTCTTCCCTCTTTCCACCAGTTTTCCTATTCCGGTTAAGAAGGAAAGCTTTGTGACAAACTTCCATTCTGATTGATTATAGATCTTAACATTCACAGAAAACTACGGCCAACCAGAGCAAGAATACTATTCACTAATGTGAAAATTACATAAATCACTTCTGAAACAATGTAAACCTGTTTGGTGGCTTCACATCTTGACAAATGAATAATTATTGCCCAAAGTGGTTTTCTAAAAGTGAACCACTTTGGGCGACTCAAGGTTGGATGCATCTAAAGACTATAATGAACGACAGGACTGTGCAAAAACAAGCTTGCAGGGACCGTAAGTCATATTTTTAATTAAATGTCCCCAAATAATAGGTCACATCTACAAATCATACTTTTTAAAGAGGAGTCCACTGGTTTGAGTTGCCTGGTGAAATATGGATGGCTTTGGCTCTCTTTTAATAACAAAATTCACAAATGGAAAGAATAGCACCACACATTAAATAAAATAAAAGCAGATACAAAATGAACCCACATAACACACATATTGGGGTATTGTTTCTAGCTGAACTCCAGCGGGTGGATTGCATCAGTGATCAGACTTTACATGTGTCGCAGGCTGTAAATGTCTGACAATAAAAGATGGATTTTAAATGACTTTATTAGACCACTAAGTGCGCATATTACCGCTTTGTGACTCTGGTCTGTGAAAGGTCTGTGAAAGGCGGTATATAAATAAACATTACTTACTATTACATACAGTTTCACATTTAACTTGAAATACACAAAGTATATTCTAATTTCCCGGGTTTCACCTGTATATACTGTACAGCAAGATCCAAGTTTGCTTTTGCAGAACCTTCAACTCTCAGGTACTCTTTGTCATCATTTCCTTGCCCCTACTCTTTATATAATTTGCTAATTTCACTAACACGTAAAGACATCTTATTTTAACAGATCAAAGAGATATTGAGGTCAGATAAGAATTCTAAGCTGCAACAACTGTGGCTGTGACGACCCAATAACCGCCACAGTGCTCATAAATCTGCTTCGGATCTTCTGCGCTGTGGATCCTGCTTGCGTGGTTGCGTGTGGGGGCAAGGTCACAGGGCTAGACAGGCCGCCAGCATCTCACACACTCACAAACACATTAACTGATCATGCCGCCACAAGGGGATTAGAGGAGAATCCGACAGGGTTAGGAGGGTTAGCCTAAAGTCTGCTGCGCCAGGGGACATTCGCGCACAAAAGACTGTCACGGCACGCACAATACAGATCGCCGCAGATTTCCAAAATGACTTTCTCAAGTGCAGGGCAGCAGCCATGGCACTACGCGAGAGGTCACAGAGCAGTGGCTCACAAGCACATGTTTGGATTGGAGAGTAAGAGAAATATATGGACGTGTCTAGTCTTTATTTATACATGTTAAAACAGAGAACCTGTAATTCCCAAACTACCCATAATACAGTGTTTAGTGATAATTAGAGGTTAAACACAGCCTTATCATTTCAGAAATCATGTTGTGAGTCCAGGCCCCCACTTTGGGAACCACTGTTGTAGATAATGTTTTCTTTTGAATGCGCTGGAAACGGAAGCAAGTCCTAAGTAGCTCTGAAACAGTTGTTGTTTTGAGTTTTACAATTGTTCTTTTTCTTGCTTTTTTCTCCCTGAGATGTTGCTGCAGCACAGTGTTCATGCTCTTACACTGGTCCAGACCGGAGCAGAGAGGATTCATGGACCTAAACAAGCGGATCAGCCAAAAATCCACTGGAGGAATGCTAACGTTTTGAAAAAAGCTAATGAAGCATTCAGCATTTTACTTTGGACCAGAGCAGAGAAAATGGTCCAAACCAAGCGGCTACTCCACCTCTGCTTCTGTAACCAGCTTTAGAATGATCGATTTAATTGTTTTGTTTGTATGGATGGATGTGATTTTGCTGCTACTGGACACCTGAATTTCTCCTACGGAGATCAATAAAGTATCTATTAAAGCTGTATCAAGAGGTCTTCTTAAATCACTTTTTGTTTACTCACTACTGCAATCAGAAATAATACTGTATCCCTCTTGGGTCTGGTATCAACGCCAACACCCAGAGATGACGCAATGCCCTTTTCATTATTGCACATTCATTCCAGAGACACTTTTCATGTATCACAGTGGTATAGCTCAAAGTCAACGCAGAGCAGATATTTATACTTAATATTTGGTTCAAAAAGACATTAATCAATTCTGTGGAAGAACTTGAAATGACACATTGGCACAGCTTAGAAACCAAAACATCAAATATGGGTTGATACTGTATCTGAAATATGCCAACTCCAAAATGTAAGTTTGAAATGAGACATATAGCTAACCAGGGCATGGTTAGTACTGTGATGGGAGACCTCTGGGAATACTAGGTGCCACAGTGGTGCAGCTGTAAAGTGCCAAACTGTTCTAAGGACACTTCACCCACACCCCTCCTGCCTAAGGACACTTCACCCACATTGTATGGGTCTGGGGTGTGCCTGAATGATTGGAGGTGGTCAGAGGGGCCTCACTTTCATCAGTTTGCCCCAGGGCCGCTGTTGTTTATCACTCCTGGGTATGAAGCGAATGAATAATGAAGCCTCTTTGGGTGTCATGAAAAGCGCCATAGTAAGGAAGATTTTACAGACAAAGGTCACACAAAGCCCTTTACAATTGTAGGTAGTTTTCTTTCAATTCCACACACAGTGATGACAAAAGCGAGACGCCGAACACACTGGCACATCAGACCTCCGACCGTCACTGTCCTTCACTCACTTTTTACATCCCCCACTAATTCATATTTTAATGCTAGGGTAAAGTGCCACGTTTATTATTTTAAAACAAAACATCCTCATTTCAAGGCAAAATAATCACCAGCAAATTCTCTGGAAGATTCATCATCCAAATGACTTGTAAAAATGGCGTGCCGCATTTTGCAAGCCAAGAGTCATAATATCCAGGAAACAATGTTGAACTTTTGCTGATCCCACAGGAAGATTCTGCCAGTGGCTTCTTCCACAGTAATGTCTGAGCGTAGGAGGACACACAAAAGCAGCTGGGGCCTCTGGTATGTGGCTGCATTGCTTGTAATTGTAAAATATCCCCCACGGACACCACTGTCAGAGGGCTAATGCTTCTGAAATGTGCCTTGAGAATAGGTTCAAACAATCCAAGTTACAGACTGCTGGGTAAGTGGTGGGAACATGGGGGACAAGATAGTTAATCCGCTGTATTCTTGGGCATGGTGAAAGCTATTAAAAAAGATAAGAAGGAATTATGAAGGAAATGTTTCAAAGGAGTTTTGCTGTTTGAAATTCAGCAATGAGTTTGTTGTTCGTTCCAAAAAATGTCTTTAAAGAATGGATATCATGCATTTAGTGTGTTTATTCTGGCGGTTTACCAAGATCTTTACAATAATTACTTACTAAAGTTATTTTTTTTATTAGAAAATAATATGGCTAATGGATTAGGAGATAACTAGAATGTGTGAACACTGCCATCTTGTGGTATAAGTGGGATGCTTCAATCTGCTAGATTTATATCCAATTCGATCTAGGAATGATTATTATTATTGTATATCGCTGCAGTTACCACATTCTTGAATATTATCAATCATAACCATATCCTTCTACTACTTTTGATTTCACTATTATTGGAACCATACTTTCCATATTTATTGAAACATTTGTTAAAATATGAACATGAATTAGTTTATGGCTTTGATTGTGAAATGAGTTTGGTGTGTGTGTGTCTCTAAGCAGTTTTCTCTTTGCTAGCTGCATCAGAACATCACATTAAACTTGAAAAATATATTCTACAAGCGCACAGTCTTTTTGTGAGCCAAAGACAAACAAAAATCAACCTGTAGAATCTATCAGAAGATCAGAAGAACCTCCCTGGACTCTTTGAAATATACTCTGTGCTGTTAGCCAGAATGTACGGTGATCAGTTTGGTGCTAGTGCTCTCCTTCAACAATGTTGCCTTCATGAGTTATTTCCCTCAGAAGTCCGTGAATTTGGTGTGAATCTTTTGTGTCCGCAGATGGAAATCTTGCAAAATCTTGCAAAATCCTGCAAATCCGCTTTCCAGCCCTGTTGAAGGCACAATTCAGAGACAAAAAAAAATGTAAAAGGCAGAAAACAACTGTACAATTTAAACATTATATGAAAGTATTTGAATAAAGTGGGATGGACTTGTTTGTGCAGACTTCAGAAAGGAGATTATGTTATTAGCATGGATGGAGCTTAAAACAATCTCAGGTATGACGTTAATGAGAGAAAATGATTAAAAGCTCAAAAACTGAAGGAGATGTCGCATTGTGCAAAATCCTTTCCCACCTGAATACGCTGCGTCAACATTAACACTAAACTCTGAAGGTCTTTTTGCCCTTTTCAAACCATTAATCCTTGTCAGACCATTCAATCATTTGGTGCACCCTTTTATTACGTTTGTATCTTTTCACACACCTATTAATTTCACATTCCAAAACACTCAAAGGCACTCAAGGTCAAAGACAAAGCATGATATTTGTCCTTGAGAGCAGATTCTTTGTGTCTGCAGAAAACAGATGAATCAAAGTGAGGAGCAGTTGGCTCGACAGAAGATCTCTGAGACGGACTACAAAGCCACGATCCACAGGTACGCCTTCATCCACTCAACACTCCCCATTCATCTTCCTGTCCGACCTGGCCATACCGCCTGCAGCCAGCCCCTCCCTCCCCCTACCTCCGGTCCATCAGCGGTCTTAGGGAGGTGGGGATATTAGTGTCAGGCCAGATCTGCCTGTGGATCACTTCAGAAGATCCTAGACTCCAGAAAGTGCCAGTGACACTGTGGAGAGTCTCGTGTGAGGCCGGGGCAGCAGATGGAAGCACTTCATAGCTTGGCGAGGGCTAATGTTTCTCACACACACTCTCCCAGCATGCAGATATGTATACGCAGACACATGTGCACTCACACCCATCCCGCAGACAGCTATCTACACGACGGCTCTATCATCTTTCCACTGAGGCGTTGGCTGACCGTATTTCACACACTATCTGATGCTATTCTTTTGCCAAGCCAGTGGCAGCCCTGGTGTGTTCAATTACCCCGGCAATTTCTCTCCTCTCCCACACAGCGGTCTCTGATCTCACCCTCTGGCTCATCCGCAGCTCTACATATGATAGCACTCGGGTCAGGGGGGGTCCAGCTATTTCAGAACACCAAAGAGGAAGGGGAGAAGCACCTCGTAGCTCATACAAGTAATGGGCATAATGTAATGGGAGACAACTATTGGGGAAATTGTCCGAGACTGGACACCATTATGCACACATCATTAAGCAGAGTGTGTTGTTGGTGATGTTGTTGTTGTGTTGTAACTCCATTGTGCAGAAGAGATGAAGAAGAAAAAGAAGAAGATGAAGAACTATCACAAATGTTCAAGGAATGCACTCGGCTGATACAAATGTTCTGACTGCTGTGCTCAAAGTCTCTCATATTTCGTCTTGATGTGGGCCTTCTTCACGTAGTCTGTGAGAACTTGTCCAGAACGATAAGTACAGAAGTATAATTTATGTTTTTCTAACATATGTACAAAAGACAATTAAAACAATAAACACAATACAAAATATATTTACCGCAGTACACAGTTTGAAAAGGGGTTGGACGAAATAGAGTAGTATTTGGGTCCAACTTCTCTTGCTCATAAACACAAAGCGCACACACACACGCACAGACAGACACAAACACAGCCCTCACTTCCCCAGTGCCCTGATGGAACACTTACTCATGAAAGCATTAACACAAGCCAAAAGATAACAAAACCTTTTGGTAGTGATATCTAAAAACAAACATTTTTGTAACTTCACTATTCACTATTGACTGATTTTCTCTTTAGAAGGCTTCCGTCTCCATATTTCAACATTTATCATTTGAGACGGAGACAAACTTTACTCATCCACAAGGGAAATGACTTGGACACAGTAGCTTACACGTTACATCAAAAACAAGAAGCAGATGGTTTAACTTTGTCTGTGTCTCTCTGTCTGTGTCTCTGTCTGAGTCTCTGTCTCTCTGTCTGTGTGTCTGTCTGAGTCTCTGTCTCTGTGTCTCTCTGTCTGAGTCTCTCAGTCTGAATCGTCTGTGTCTCTCTGTCTGTGTCTCTCGTCTGTGTCTCTCTGTCTCTGTCTCTTTGTCTGTGTCTCTCTGTCTGTGTCTCTCTTCCTGAGTCTCTGTCTCTTTGTCTGTGTCTCTCTGTCTGTGTCTCTGTCTGAGTCTCTGTCTCTGTGTCTCTCTGTCTGAGTCTCTGTGTGAGTCTCTGTCTCTGTGTCTCTCTGTCTGAGTCTCTGTCTCTCTGTCTGAGTCTCTGTCTCTCTGTCTGAGTCTCTGTCTCTGTCTGAGTCTCTGTCTCTGTGTCTCTGTCTGTGTCTCTCTGTCTGAGTCTCTGTCTCTGTGTCTCTCTGTCTGTGTCTCTCTGTCTGTGTCTCTCTGTCTGAGTCTATGTATCTGTGTCTCTCTGTCTGAGTCTATGTCTCTGTGTCTCTGTTTCTCTGTCTGTGTCTCTCTGTCTCTGTCTCTCTGTCTGAGTCTCTCTCTCTGTGCCTCTGTCTCTGTCTGTGTCTCTCTGTCTGAGTCTCTGTCTCTGTGTCTCTGTCTGTGTCTCTCTGTCTGTGTCTCTCTGTCTGAGTCTCTGTCTCTGTGTCTCTGTGTCTCTGTGTCTGTGTCTCTGTCTCTGTCTCTGTGTCTCTCTGTCTGTGTGTCTCTGTCTGTGTCTCTCTGTCTGTGTCTCTGTGTGTCTCGCTGCCTGTGTCTCTGTGTGTGATTTGCAACGTGGTTGAATTACAGAAGTAAATGGGCTTGTGTCTGTGTCTCTCTGTATGAGTCTCTCTGTCTGTGTCTTTCTGTCTGTGTCTCTGTCTCTCTGTCTGAGTCTCTGTCTCTGTGTCTCACTGTCTCTGTCTCTCTGTCTGTGTCTCTCTGTCTCTGTGTCTCTGTCTGAGTCTCTGTCTCTGTGTCTCTGTCTGTGTCTCTCTGTCTGTGTCTCTCTGTCTCTGTGTCTCTCTCTGTGTCTCTGTCTCTGTGTCTCTGTCTGTGTCTCTCTGTCTGAGTCTCTGTCTCTGTGTCTCTGTCTGCGTCTCTGTCTGTGTCTCTGTCTCTGTGTCTGTGTGTCTGTGTCTCTCTGTCTGAGTCTCTGTCTGTGTCTCTCTGTCTGTGTCTCTCTGTCTGTGTCTCTCTGTCTGTGTGTCTCTGTCTGTGTCTCTCTGTCTCTGTCTCTGTCTATGTCTCTGTCTTTGTCTCTCTGTCTCTGTATCTGTCTGTGTCTCTCTGTCTCTGTATCTGTCTGTGTCTCTGTGTCTGTGTGTCTGTGTGTCTGTGTCTCTGTGTCTCTGTCTCTGTGTCTCTGTCTGTGTCTCTCTGTCTGAGTCTCTGTCTGTGTCTCTCTGTCTGTGTGTCTCTGTCTGTGTCTCTCTGTCTCTGTCTCTGTCTTTGTCTCTCTGTCTCTGTATCTTTCTGTGTCTCTGTCTCTGTATCTGTCTGTGTCTCTCTGTGTGTCTTGCTGCCTGTGTCTCTGTGTGTGATTTGCAACGTGGTTGAACTACAGAAGTAAATGGACTTTTGAACAATATTATAATTTCTCGACCCTCACCTGTACAAGGCGAGTTGCGATGCTGAAGTGCAGACACTAAATTGATAGTGCGAGCAGAGGGAGATGTGGTTTCACCTTTTGACCTAGCATCCATTTTTTGTTGCTTTGTTGGCACAAGAAATTGCAGCCATCAGTATGTTCTTTGGAGGATTGCTCAGTGTCAAAGCGTTCCATGACCTGCTGAAAGTGTGTTTGGGATGCGCCCTGGATTCTCTCCTCTGGGAAGCTGGTGTGGCTGTGTTCTTCTGGTCTGAGGCTACAGGGTCAACTCTGGACTAATTGGACATGGTCTGCTGTTCCATTTCAATGCTCCAGGATACTCCGGACTGAAAGGATGAGTCTGTGAAGAGCAAACTTTCAGTCTCTTTACTTTATGTTTCTATTACTGTCATATTTTCTCTCGGGTCGTGTCCACATAATCCTGCTCTCCTAAGTGGGCTATTCAAACTTAACTTACTTTATTCCTTCTGAACTCCGGAACCATTGATTTCTGTTCCAAAATGCATGTTCTTGTGGAAATGAAGGACACTTATGATCCACCGGCTGTCGGGCGGCTTCAACCTATTTAGAATTGTTTTTAAGTGAGTTGATGGGTGGTTCTTATCGTGTTTCATTGCCTAGTTGATTAGGTGTTGACACAAAAAATAAAAACATCTAACTGTTGATTTAATTTTCAAACTTGTAAAATACTCTTTATCTAATACTAATTTCAGTACCACTGAGATACATACATATTTTTTTCTGGGGACTATACAGTTTATTGTATGTATTTTTTGGTACTGTTTTTTGCTTTTATACAAATTCTGCTTTAAAATGGATCAAACAATGCTCAAGAAATGTCTAATTCTGTCCTGTTTATAAAATTGTAAAACTAATTTCGATGTTGAGTTTTGATACTTTTGATCCCTTTGACGACATGTTTATGGACTTGACGATGATGAAGTTTTATCTAAAGATGGGTCTAAAATTCTTTATCAAAACTGACTGGATTTGTACACATTGTGGGTTGTTTTGAGAGCACAGTTCACCGGCTGGACTCATGCAGCCTAAGTCCTGGATCTACAGCCCCTCCGTCCGTGGGAGAGGATCCTTCTCTCAGTGTGGGCCTCCCCGAGGTTTCTCATTTTCTCCAGCTGGGTCATTAGTTTTTCCTTGCTGAAGCAGGAGGATCTAAGGACAGTGGCGGTGATCCAGGACCAGGATATCATAATTTATTGACATTGGTCATTTGTCCCTTATGTATTCTTTAATCATAGTATTTCCTGAGCTTTGACTGTCTGATTCTCTGATCTGTGTTGGCGAGTCGAAGGCTTGTAAAGTCCTCCCAGATTAAGGGCTACACAATAATACATTAAATTGAACTGAATTGAATTATATAAAACATTTGTGACCCCTAAATACTGTCCTATAAAACAGTATTGACATTCGGATGCAGCCATGGCTTTCTAATTGACGTCATCTTGGCTCAAGCCCATATTTATGTCCTTCTGTTTATTGCCAACAGGGTGAAAAGTGAACTGGAGAGGACACATGAGGAGTGGTTGTCAAGCCAACGGAGATGTGAGACTTTGGAGGAGCAGCTGTCCACATGGCAACAGAGACTAGAACAAAGTCGTGAGAAGTACCACACGGCTGAAGAGGACCTGACCCGACTGCAGGCAGCTCTGGAGCGCTCCGAGCGGGAAGTCCAAGAGGTGCGCAGAGACAGGTCAGAGTTACTGTATGTCCGCCATGCCTGATCAGTTCACGGTGTTCTGCCCTGACAGCCTCCAACTCTACTCCCGCTGCAGTAAACAGCTCATAGATCACTCATTAGCAGAGATAAACATTACATCAGCACTGAACAACTGACAGCCCAGAAATCATCCATGTGGAGTTCTGACATCTGTGCGATTGTTAGCAGAGAGGGCTTGGCTGCTCATGAGCCCTGCTTCAAATATACACAATATGAGCTGCTGAGAGATGGGAGACACGTCTAATAACACGGTGTAAGCAAATCAAAAAGTCATCTCCTGTTCCGGACTTTATTTGAGTTCAGCTTATGAAACTTAAGCCGACCTGTTCAACTTCATTATGACTGACATAGCGTTTGTTGACCGGTGTGTAATTCCTGCCGGATCATTGTTGAAACCAATAACATCCACAGACAAATGTAAATATGTCAATGAAGATATTTACCATGGTGTTCGTTATTCAAATTATCATTATTTCAGTCAATTTTAACAACATGTTTTGGTCAGAATTATAATTCACACGCTTTCATCTAATTCAACAATGACATTCTAGCATGCCATAGCACTAGCATTTTTATGACCAGAAATGTTCTGACTGAAATGAAAAACACATGATGTTGATAAAATATCTCAGAGCAACATGTTGCTTATATGGATTTTCAAAATGCAATGCAAAACCAAAAATCCACGCATTGTCATGTATACACAGTTAGTTAAAGCAGGCATACATTTTTGATCCAATATTACACAATTAAGTTATATTTTGAAGTTGCTGATCATAAAACCTGGTCAGGAACATGAAAATGGCCTTGAGAAAGTTTCTCTCTGCTCGTTAGTGCAGAGCTGCTAAACGCTGGACACTGTGCTGCTCTGTGCTCTCTCCTCAGATTTACAACACACTGCAGACTTTTCTGCCCGGTCGCTGTAATAGATTGTTTTGTTCTGACACTAAATATTTACAACGCTTTTGTGTCCGAGAGGACGTGAGGTGAGCACAGTCAACAATCCATGGTGAGCATTATGAGTCTATTCAGAGCTGCGTACGCCGCCTCTCTGCATCGGCAGAGCTGAGCTCTTTTTGGGTGGTTGGCCTGATGCCCGGAATCTTACGTAAGCTCTTACCTTTTTTCACGATGTGACCGGCACATTGTGGCAAGAACGAGGAGCACTGAATGCTCTACACAGCTCTGTGTAACAGTTTGGTACTCCGAGTGCTGCTCTTGTCAAAAGAACAGCATATGATTATTCAAGAGGACAAAATATATAGTGAATCTATAGGAAGAAGTTGTGATCTATGACACCTTCATGAAAGTATATTTCAAATGTTAAGTTTGATTGAAACCTATGTTCAGACATGATTATCACTACAGTGACAGTGACAGTGACAGTCATACTGTAGCTCCATAACATTACCATTTATATGAACTCTTTTATCAATGATGTCAAAGTTTAATGCCAGTGTGGCTTCCATTGAGAGTCTGGGCTAATCTGGCACGTTATAAATCATTTTAAGCCAATTACAATAGCAGTTGCATTGAGCTGTAAACACAATAGATAATAGGGACAATGCTTAGCCACATTAAGCTCAGAGACAGATATGTTTGGCACCAGATTATAGCTACACAGCTAGTTTCAATCTACAGACCCCAGTTACATGAAAAAATACCATCTATCCATCCATTTTCTTCCGCTTCATCCGTTGCCAGGTCGCGGGGGCAGCAGTCTAAGCAGACGCCCAGACTTCCCTATCCACACACACTTCCTCCAGCTCGTCCGGGGGGAACCCCAAGGCGTTCCCAGGCCAGCTGAGAGACATAGTCCCTCCAGCGTGTCCTGGGTCTTCCCTGGGGCCTCCTCCCGGTGGGATTGAACAGATGCCCAAGCCACCTCAACTGGTTCCTCTCGCAGTAGAGCAGCAGAGATAAAATCCCGTGGTCTCCAAACCGGACCTTGGCTGCGCCTAGAAATTCTGTCCATAAAGACAGTCAACAGAACCGGTGACAAAGGGCAGCCTTGGCGGAGACCAACACGCACCGGGAACAGGTCTGACTTATTGCAGGCAATGCGAACACAGCTTTGGTTCCGGTCATACAGGGACCGGACGACCCTCAGCTTAGGACCCCGGACCCCGTACTCCCGGAGAACCCCCCCAAAGGACACCCCGAGATACACGGTTGAACACCCTCTCCAAATCGACAAAGCACATGTGGACAGGTTGGGCAAACTCGCATGAACCCTCGAGTATCCGATGGAGAGTATAGAGCTGGTCCAGTGTTCCGCGACCGGGACGAAAACCACACTGCTCCTCCAGAATCCGAGATTCGACCATCAGCCGTAGTCTCCTCTCCAGTACCTTACCTGAGTAGACCTTACCTGGGAGGCTGAGGAGTGTGATCCACGATGATTGGAACACACCCTCTGGTCCTTCTTGTAGAGAGGGACCACCACCCCGGTCTTCCACTCCATTGGTTCCGCCCCTGATCGCCATGCGATGTTGCAGAGACTTGTCAGCCAAGACAGTCCTACAACATCCAGAGACTTTAGATAGTCAGGACGGATCTCATCTACTGCCGAGGCGCCTTGCCACCATGGAGGCTGCCAACCACCTTGGTGACCTCAGCCAGGGAGATGCAGGTATCCGCCCCAGCATTCTCAGCCTCTGCCTCCAGGGCGGAGGACGTGACGGGGGGATTGAGGAGAACCTCAAAATATTCTTTCCACCACCAGACAATATCCCCAGTTGAGGTCAGCAGCTCTCCACCCGCACCATACACGGTGTTGGTAAAGAACTGGTTCCCCCTCCTGAGGCGCCGGACGGTTTGCCAGAATCTCTTCGAGGCCGACCGATAGTCATGCTCCATGGATTCTCCGAACTCCTCCCAGTCCCGGGTTTTTGCCTCTGCAACAGGCCGAGCTGCGGCATGCTTGGCCTACCGATACTGGAAAGCTGCCTCAGGAGTCCCACAAACCATCATGGCTCGATAGGACTCCTTCTTCAGCCTGATGGCATCCCTTACTACCGGTGTCCACCACCGGGTTCGGGGGTTGCTGCCGGGACCAGAACCAGGATTACTATTGCAACAACACATCATCAGTAGGGTAAAACTAACCTGGGTTTAACGGTCTAAACCCAGCTCACAGACCTTGCGACTACAGCTACGCATCAGGGATAGAGGTGGAGAACATGGTCCAATCAGACTCGATGACCCCTCCTCCCCCGGGACCAGGGAGAAGCTCTCCCGGAGGTGCGAGTTGAAAGTCCGTCTGTCAGGGGGCTCAGCGAGACTTTCCCACCAGATCCTCCAGCCCGAGCTGTGTATAGAGGTGAGGCCGACTGTTTCTAGGGGGTATTGCTCAACCTCCTCCACAAGCTCGGGCTCCCTACCCCCCAGTGAGGTGACGTTCCACGTCCCAAGAGCCAGATGTTGTGTGTGCGGACTAGGTCATCAAGGTCTCCTTCGACTGCTGCCCAGTCCTCCTAGCATCGAACCACCACGGATCCCTCTGTGGGTGGTGGGTCCACAGGAGGGCATGCCCACCCCATCCCTTTGGGCTGAGCCCGTGGGCTAAGGCCTGGCCACCAGACGCTCGCTTTTGAGCCCCGAGCCCAGGCCTGGATTCAAGGTGGGGCCACGTCACGGTTGTCGTTGTCGTGCTTTCCATGGTTGGCTTCGGACTGCGCTTTGTCTGACTTGTCACTCAAGACTTGTTTGCCATGTAGTTGTAGTTCATAATATAACATTGTTATGCATATATTCATGATTGGGGTAGGGGTTTAAATAAGATTTGGTCTTCATCCTACTCCTGTTCTTTATGTGACTGTCATGTTATATGAATGAATGAATGAATGTGTGTGGGGGAGGGGTAAGTGTATTGCCCAGGGACACCTATATACTGTACATATACTACACTAGTCGTCGTGTGGGGCAAACATAGAGCCCACCTCAGAGTCCGTGTGAGCTGCTTTGAGGTTCCGTTCTCTACTATCGTCATTATTAAAGAATGAGAAGAGGGCACTGTTTGAAACATGTGGGTACATTTATTAATCTAGGAGCTGAACTATTTGTTCAAAGTATAATAGTATGTGCAACTTAAGTGGTTTAATTATCTGTGTGCATCGTAGATTAGATTGCTCCAATGGTAATTGTTTTTTGCACACGTGATAAATATACCCATTATTGCAGTTCAGCCTCACCTAGAATTAAGATCACTGACAAATATACTGTGGATCGTCTTGTAGTGCTGTCTTTAGATTCAGATTCAGACTTCTTTATTTATCCCACTTAGGGCAATTTGTTTGAGCAGCACAGGGCAAAAAACATAAAAAACACAGGAAATGTCAGACAGTAACATAAGCGATACAATAAGAAGTGGAGCCCATACAAACATTTGAACATGATACAACAACACAAGCTCAAACACCATATCACCAACAAGCTACAGAGCGTTCATCAGTCTGATAGCAGTTTTCCTCAACCCTTTTGAGCCGTGGCACATCTTTTTTATTATCAATTACGTGGCAATCCACTAGATATAAAAAAGAAACTCCACAGACTTTAGTGACAATATAAAGTTATTCTCATTCAAGTGTTTTGTGTAGAAAATCAAACAAGCACAAAAAAATTGCACAATATTTTATTTTCACAATAATTTGACCAATAAGGTGATATTGGATCATTTCCACAGACAGACCATACAACACCTTGGCCACGGCACACTGGCTGCAAAACACTGTTGTAGTGTGTAGTGTAACATATATATTGCGAATACGATTCAGACATAGACCTCTGAACCATTCCCAGAACCTTCCTTGAAATTGCAAGTCGCTATCTTTCTCATGACATTTGGATGCGATTATACCATTTCCTTTGGGGATGGAGTAAAGTCACAAAGTACGGTGGACTCAGATGAGACTGCGTGATAAGAGTCATGGCCTTGTGTTTTGTTCATAAATGCGTCCTACAATAACCTCTTTGGAGCTTTGAATAAAACACAGGCCACAGGCT